ACAATATGTTTTCTTATTTTAGGAAAAGTATTAATCTAATACCTTTAAACGAGCAATTATTGTATATATATTTGTGAGAAAATATATTTTTTAGTATATTTTTTAAAACACGAAAAAATAAATTAAACTAATTGCACTCATGATTTTTTTATTTAAATAACCAGTTCAGTTTTTTCTATTACGTCGGTAAGATCGAAAAATGTTATTCATATTTCATCAGTATGTAATTTGTATCTAATTAGAATTTCCAAAAAACAGGATTTCCAAAAAAATACCGAGCAAAGTTTGGTCATCCAGGTACTACTCCATACATGCAACGTATATATGAATAGAATGTTAAAATCTTGCTTTTCTTTGAATATTGCTTAACTGATGTTCTCTCTTGCTTTTGTGATTATTAATTTGAATAGAATATAATAAATTTTTATTCAATACAAATGACACTTATTGAAAGTTATTCTGTGTTTTACTATTGGTTTTAAATAAAACTCTCGTTTCTAGTTGTTATTTATAAGACGCTGCTGCCTATTTCCTGTTTCAGTTTCCATCTGACGCCTCTTACGACAACCACGAGACTAGACAAAACGAGGGTAGTGGATATTCTTATTCCGTCAGTACATGATTTGTTTTTAATATAACCTTTCTTTATTTTACTTATCTACTTCAGAAGAAGGGTTAAAGTATTTTGACTACCGTACAATGGGGGGAATAGGGATCCAGGTGTGAATAGGGAAAAAACCAGGAAACATTTTTGACGCTAAATATTAGTTTGCAAATCGTTCCAACTTTTACCATTTTTTGAGGGATAATAGTAGATTATTGGAACTTTTTTATGGCAACATTGAACAAGCGTGAAATTAGCCGCAAACTGTCAAAAATGTCACATGAAAATAGTATAAACAAAAGAAACAAGACGCCGGTTTTTACAGTGTTTAAAACTTTGCTGTGTAAAAGCTATTTTGTATTTAGCGAATACGAGTGTTTGTTTTATACGTTATTTAGTGTTTAGGCCATCATATACATAAAAGGTAAGCATCAGTTATTAATTAATATTACTATTATTTAGATTTTTAGAACGACATGAGAAATATGTATTTTTTTGGGGTGAATAGGGACGTCCCAGATATGAATAACTACGAAAGCGGGGTTAATCGGGATAAGGACGGGATGAATGGGAACGGCTTATGTATGAATAGGTACAGCTTTATAGGGTTGTCACTAAGCAGACTTAAAATTTTTAAGTTATGTAATCTAGGTAATAATTAGGTTTATTTCTTTATTTCTATATTCCGCGACAAACTTCATCTAAAACTAAAAAAGTATCCGTATAATGAAATCTTGAAAGTAACCTATACACGTTATAGAAATTATTGTAGTAAACTTGTTCGAAAACTTAAAATAATGCACGAAAGAAACAATTTAACAAGGGCTAATAAAAATCCTAAATTACTGTGGACAACTATAAAACCTATATGTAACATAAACAATAATAAAAATGACTACATACATAACCTACTCTCACTTAAATCCACACCGATGGAAGCTGCAAATTGTGCTAATAATTACTTCTCTAACTTAGGTATACGTCTGGCTGAAAACTTATTATCGTCCCCTATGTCATATAATTCTATTCGTGGCATAAATAATATTAAATGTCCATCTTCATGCAATTCTTTAGTTCTTTTAGCAACAGATACAGCAGAAATTAATACAATCATCTGTAACTATCTAACGACTCCGCCCCCGTGGGATAACATTCCTACTACTTTTATCAAAATGGCCAAAAATTATCTCACCCCCGTCCTTTGTCATGTGTATAACCTCTGTTTCGACAAAGGCTGCTTCCCCCTCTGTTTTCAAAAAAGCTACTGTTACACCCATCACCACCATGAAATTGAAAATTATAGTATAATTATATACCTATCTCTGTACTTCCAGTTCTGGCAAAAATTTTGGAAAAGCTCATTAACAACCGCATTAACGAATTCCTTTACAAAAACAGCTTGCTATCAAATAACCAATTTGGCTTCAGAAATGGCGTCTCCACTGAAGACGCAGTTCTGGCACTATCTGTAAGCACCTAGATGCAGGCTATAAATGTGTCGGCGTCTTCCTGGATCTTGCAAAGGCGTTCGACTCTGTTTCAATTCCAATATTATTACATAAGCTTTATCATATTGGCATAAGAGGGACACCCCATAAGCTATTCACAGACTACCTAACGAATCGCCTACAGAATCTAAAACTTGGTGACGTTATCAGCCAGTCATCTCCCATTACTTACAGCGTTCCACAAGGCAGTGTACTCGGACCGACATTGTTTTTGATATATGTGAATGACCTCTGTAGTCTCAAACTTCCCAATTGCGATATATTTACCTATGCAGATGATACCGCGCTGATTTTCAGTGAAAAGAGTTGGGATTCTCTTAGAATTACGACTGAATCAGGATAACGACATATATTAAATTACTTAAGATCACATCTATTAACACTTAATGTATCAAAAACCCAATTTGTTCCTTTTACGATACGAACATCTACCTTACCACACTCGGACTTTGCTCTCAAAATTCATAGCTGCTCCCAACACCAGGCGAAAAATTGTCAATGTGTTGATATTGCTAGATCGTCTACTATTAAATATCTAGGCATCACTATTGACCGGCATCTTATATGGAACAAACAAATTGAGTGTACCATTGACAAGGTAAGAAAGCTTATGTGGGTTTTTAGAAGGCTCAGACATGTCGCAGATAATAAAATCCTTATATGTACGTATAAAGCACTAGCCCAATCTGTCTTAAGCTACTGCATTACAGCTTGGGGTGGAGCAGCTAAGTCCAATTTAATAACTCTTGAAAGGGCTCAGAGAGCATTACTGAAAGTGATGTTCTTTAAACCAATCCGTTTCCCAACTCATGAACTACACAATTCTTGCAAAATCTTAACAACCCGCCAAATGTACATTTTAAAGAGTGCCATTCGAACCCACAGCACTTTACCATACACTGCCCCTCAGACACTAAAACGTAGAATTTTACCTGTTTTCAATATTCCATATTGTAAAACCAAATTTAAGAAAAAACAATTTGCCTATCAATCAAAATATCTATATAATAAATTAAATAGTAGGCTTAATATGTATCCCCTCACTTGTGCTAAATTAAAAAATTTGCTAACAACTACTCTGCTTAGCCTCAACTATGAAGAAACAGAACTGCTTATTCGCTAAACAACACACACGCACACACACACACACACACACACACACACACACACACACACACACACACACACACACACACACACACACACATGCACACACTTTCACTCTTTCTTAAGTATCAAAAATGTCATCAATTCATGTCTTAAAGATTGTTAAAGCACTAATATAATATGTAATATCCTATGTTTCAAATTGTTAAAATTTATCTGTTGGAAGAGCGGGGTACCCCGTAACACAGGTTTTACCAACCCAGTACAGGGGCCCTTGCCACTTGTTTGTTACTACCTTTTGAAACGCAATAAACAATTTTTAATTTTTTTAAATATTTTATACCGATTTTTTATTTCATAAGTTAGCGAGTATTACACTGCGTCGTTAGTCTAGTGACTGTAAGTGTAATTGCCGAGCAGGGAGTCTCCGGATTGATTCCCGGGTCGGGCCAAGTTTTGTTGGAATTTCGAAATATTATACAGAGTTCGAAATTGTGTCCGGTTTAATAGGCTCGCCCCCTATTTGTTGAAACTGACAACATTACTGACGAACAGTGGGTGTCACATTTAATACGTGCCTCAGTTTTTTTTGGGATGGGAAATTATTAAATGACACCTCCTGCTCTGGGCGGAGCCGAAAGTTTATTTTAGTGTAGATATATTGAAAAGAAATATTTATATACCTGCAATAACGCAAATTTATTTTTTCAGATATGCCTCGCGTGTATATCTCAAAGTACAAAACCTTATAAGAGATATGATCCCTTAATATTAAAAACTGCAATAGAAACGTATGAAACTGGAAACAAATCTCTAGTTGAAATAGCTAAACAATTTAATATTATACATGAACGAGAACAATGAAGAGTCAAGGTGGACAAAGAGCACTAAGTGATGAAGCAGAAAAATACATAAATATTTGTTCTGAGTGGGTGTATCCACTTGATACTTATGACTTACGGATAATAATAAAGAGATAGAGTTGGTAAAGAAGTAAAAAAATTTAAAAATAAATTACCTGGCGCGGATTATATAGAACGCTTCTTAAAGCGTCACAAGAAGGAAATTTCAGAAAGAATAAGCCAGAACATCAAAAGATCTAGGACTGCAGTATCTCCACAAATTATAGAAGAATATTTTAGGCAACTTGAAAATTTCATAAAGTATGTATATCTGTATATGATACCTTTATGTAACATCGTGAATTACGATGAATCCAATTTAGCTGACGACCCTGGAAAAAAGAATGTTTTGACTAAAAGAGGCGTCAAATACCTTGAAAGGGTTATGAACCACACAAAGTCATCGACATCGCTGATGATGGCTGCATCCGCCGATGGAACACTGTTGCCCTGCAATGTAGTCTATAAAGCTGGCAATCTTTACAATACCTGGACTACAAATGGCCCCCCTAACTGTAGATATAATCGCACTCAGGCAACTCAGGCTGGTTTGACGGCAATACGTTTGAAGATTGGGTGGAAACCGTAGCCCTTCCATACTTCAATAATAAAACTGGGAAAAAAATATTGATAGGATACAACCTGTCTTCACACCTGTCTTTAGATTTAATTAAAAAATGTCAAGAACAAGAAGTACATTTTGTATTTCTGCCACCGAATTCAACGCACCTGACGCAGCCACTTGATGTAGCCTTTTTTAGACCTGTGAAAATTGCGGGGCGTAATATTCTCTTAACGTGGAAAAAATCTGAAGGCCGGGTAATGCCCACAATACCAAAAAATGTTTTTCCGAAATTACTCAAGCAGTTACAAAATAAAATGGAACCAAATACAAAACAAAATATTTTAGCTGGATTTATAAAAGCAGGAATAAGCCCCCTGAATAAAGACAAAGTACTCAATAGATTGCCTGGAAATAACTTAAGACACGAATTTTGTTTGGAAGAAAAAGAAGCAATTGATGAATCAGTGTTGTCATTGTTAAAGGAAATGCGATATGGGCCAGAAAATACTAGAACTATTCGTAAACCAAAGAAAATAAATGTTATACCTGGAAAAAGTGTAGAAGACAGTGATTATGTAGAAAGCGATATTTCAAGTTCAAATGCACTCTCGGATGTTGATTCACAAGTTGCGAGTACGTCTAAAAAATCAAAAAGAAGCTTAAGTCAAACAAACAATAAAAAGATAAATCCAATGCCTACAGGAAAAAAATGTAATTGCGGAAGTACCAAGACTAAAAGGTAAAGGTATAGGCAAAAAATCTAAACCACAAAAATGTAACAATAATTTAAATAAAGAATCTGAAGTATTACAAGAGAAACAAATTTTAGAAGAACAACAACAACAAAATTTTAATATTGACCTTATTGACATTGACAATACACCTGTTTTATTACTTGACGACAATTTTACTGTAACAGAAAATAATTGTATTGTAACAGAAGAACATTCTGCTTTACTAGAAGACAATTTAACCGTAACAGAAGATAATTTTATTGCAACAGAAGACCAACGCCAAAAAGACACACAACCAAAAATACGCATTTTATCTGATGTTATATACAAAGGAAATATGAAAAAACCTATTGAACTTAAACCTAGTGCTAATCGTCTCAAAAAATCTAATTATTATGAGAATAACTTGGAACCTTCTTTAAAACCTAAGCCTAGTATATGTGGCCTCAGAAGACCTAGGTACTATAAGGATGACATGGAAATTCTTCGAGATTTGATGGACTCAGATGATGAGTAATTGTTTTCTTTTTTTTCGAGAGTTTTATGTTTTCTTTTATACCAAACCATGTATGATCTCATTTGGGGTACCTGTATACCCGTAGGGTTTAGAATTATTTTTTATGTTAAGTAAAACTGATTTGTTAAGTCTATAGGTCAAATGAGCGTAATTTTGCGAGTCGTGAGTCGCAGAATTTCGGTCGCTTTCATAGAAAGTCTTGCGACGCAAAATGAGTGGTCTGCACCGTACCAGAACCCGAAATTCTGCGACTCACGACTCACAAACTTACGCTCGTTTGGCCTCATGACTTAATATTTTACTTCCTAAAAGCTATTTTATAATAACTTGATACCTCCAATATATGTTTGTTGATTTTGAAATGTATATACAGGTTCATTAATAAATAATTTGCAAAAGGTTTGTTTATTAAAAATAAATATGTAAGTAAAAGTGGATTTTATTTCAGACTAAATGGTAATCAGAAACTAGTATTATGTTAAAATGTAAGAATTACATACTGGTAATAAGTAAGTAATACTGTTGAATAAATTAAATAAATAAATAATACAAAAAATAGGTTAAGAGAAATTATAATTTATTACACAAGTGGCAGCCCTAGAGAATTTCTCTATTGACCCTACTTTCGTCCCGATTCACCCCAATTTCTGGGTGAATAGGGATAGGCTATATTTTAGCTTTTTTATGCATAAACTGAAATGCTAATTGCATAATTTATATTAGATCACAAAGTTACCATCACGACTCAATTGTTACGATCGCCTTACAGCGAATTTTCTTTAAAAAAAACGCCCTAACTTTCTCCATGAAGTTCAGATTTGTCCCTTTTCACCCCAATTTACGGTACGCATGTATGGATGTCTTTTTTTTTGGCATGCTCTGTAGCCTAAACAGCTTCATAAATTTTAACATCTGGGGTGTGGTTAGATTTGTCTTAGTTGGGGAAGTGACATTTTTTTTTTCATTAAATTGACTGGTTTTGTTATTTATTACTGTTTTAACCGTTAGGTTTGCTTAACAACAACAAAAAAGTAAAATATATTGTTTTAATGTTTTGATATAACTTTATTTACACACAAAAGTTTTTTTTTTCAGATATAAAATAAGAATTTTGCCTAATTTTAAATACCTATTAACTTAGCAAATAAAAACATAAATTAATAATGTACACTTTATTACTAATTCCAAATTTTAAACTAAAGAGAACAAATGCATCAGAACGGCACTATGGAGCTCTTCCCCGCTCCAAGAAGTATGAAAATGCGTACAATGGTATCCATTTTCATATATAAATTTCATTGAATGCATATACTCAGCGGTGGACCATAATAAATTGGCTGTATATTATAATATATAACCCGCTTCTTCGGTTCTGTAATCGGGTAAAGCGTGCGTGATAGATCGTGGAAACTATGCCAAATATGAGGCAATCAATAGGGAGACCTATGTTCATCAGTGGACTAAAATGTAACGGTTATTCGATAAAAGGAAGAAACATAATTGCTGATCCAATACAAATACTAGGTGCGTTTGGCAGAAAAAAGCGCTTGTAAGCAAAATGGCGATCGTAAGCGGTAAGCGCTGTCAAATCGTAAGTAGCTATTTTCCTCTAGGACACGAAGTTAGTTTTTAACCGGGGAACCTAACCTAATTTAAATATATGTTTGTAAAGTATTCATATTAAAAACTTACCAATCATGAATTTTTAATACCATGTACATGTTTATTCATGTCATTATATTACTTGAAACTAATATTGCACAAAACAACTCATAAACTCTACTTCAAAACAAACAAATTAAATAATTAAAATGGCGGATTGTGTCAGCGCTTTAAGTATTCATTGGTTTAATACTCAAAGTGTCAGCGCTACTGAAGTTAGCCAACGTGTCCTGTTTAGTTTCGCCATTTTGCTTACAAGCGCTTGCTAGCGCTTTTTTCTGCCAAACGCACCCATTGCGTTGAGAGCAGCAAGCAAAGTAATTATTTACATATTATGTGTCATTCATGGCTCGTTTATAATTAAACCTAGTAGTGCTTGAAAATACTTATAGCGCCATCTATACAAAATTATATGATATTTAAAGAAGAACGGGTTGAAATAATATTTAAAAAAACTCAAAATCGGGAAACGACAATCTAAATTTTAAAACTTTTGAAAATGCAAAAGGGAAGTATAATATGTTTACTGCTAAGCTAAGAGAGTGTGGTTTGCAAGATGATGTTGTGACCAGGATTAAGAAAGGAATGCTTCGGTGGTTTGATCATGTGGAAAGAATGAATGAGGAAAGAGTGACAAAGAAAATTTATGGTGCAGAAGTGAATGGCAGAGTCGGAAAGGGACGTCCTAGGCGAAAATTTATCGACCAAATTGGCGATTTATTGAAAACGGGCCAAATTAGGAGTACCCTTAACCGACGAGCATGTATGCGTAGGTGTATGGATGTGAAGGAGGCAAGAGAGGTGTGTCAGGATCGTGCCAAATGGAAGTCTGTAGTCTCTGCCTACCCCTCTGGGTGACAGGCGTGAGTGTTTATATGCTAAGCTTCTATGATCCTTGCCGAAACTAAGGAAATTGTTAATAAATAGCTCTTTAAAAATTTGATTTACCATGTTGTAGGTACTCGGCTGTGAAGAAAAAAATTATTAGCACACCTATTTAAAAATTTGCAACACTATCTATCGACGACATTGGTTAACTATTGTACTTTTTAGGGTTCCGTAGTCAACTAGGAACCCTTATAGTTTCGCCATGTCTGTCTGTCCGTCTGTCCGTCCTCGCTTAATCTCTGTGACCGTTAACACTAGAAAGCTGAAATTTGGTACCAATATGTGTATCAATCACGCCGACAAAGTGGTAAAATAAAAATGAAAAAATGTTTTATTAGGGTAGCCCCCCCTATATGTAAAGTTGGAAGTGATTTTTTTTTAATTTCAACCCTAACGTGTAATATATTGTTGGAAAGGTGTTTAAAATGAATACGGGTTTACTAGAATCATTTTTGATAATGTCAATAATTTCGGAAATAACCGTTCCAAAAGTAAAAACAATGTGCCCCCCCCCTCTAACTTTTAAACCATAAGTTTAGAAAATATGAAAAAAATCTGAAAAGTAGAACTTTATAAGCACTTTCTAGGAAAATCATTTTGAACTTGGATGGAAACAACAGTACCCTACTACCGGGAGCAGTTGCAGGAGCGCGGAGCGCTGCTGGAGCGCGAACATAATGGATACCCACCTTTAAACTCATAAGTGGGAACACTTATTGTGACGAACGGGAAACTACGGAACCCTACACTGAGCGTGGCCCGACACGCTCTTGGCCGGTTTTTATTTAACTGAGAATTAGGATTTATATATTTTTATTACGATGTTCTTTGTTATTTTTGTTTACTGATTTAGATACAATTATATCATTATAGAACACTATTTTACATTCTTTTATTACAAAAATGTCCTTGATCACTCAACGCCACCATAGAACAAATTCGTAGGTACCTATATTTCGGACCCGTACTTCAGAATATTAATCATAACTTTTGATAGGATGAACCTATTTTAATAAAACAAAGACACAATTTTTCCTAACGATTATTTTGATATAGATCAGTACTTTATACGTGATACGTTACCAACAGACAGACAATTCTGAAAAATCATGTATTGTTACTTATTTTTAGTCCCTCAATCAATTTTGTTACAAAAATATAAATGTACAGACATCTACAACTTACATTTAAGTATAGATATATAGCTTATATGAATTTGTGAATATTCTTTAAATCATATTCTGTGATAGAGCGTCCGCTACTTTAAGCAGGTTGCTTGCGTGTTTGTTTCTTCACAATTCATAATCCCGCATGCGGGCTTGTTTCATCGCCGTGCAAGTACATTCTGTTAAAATATCTATACAAACTAACTTATCGACGAGTATCTCTCTTTATAAAGTCCATTACAACGTTACACACGAAGGAGCTCGCTGCGTCTACCTCTACGTGCGACAGGATCACGGCGTAGGATCCTGCTTAACCTAGTGTTCGCCTATAAATCGCTTGTTGTTTTTTAACTGTTGAGCTGTCATTAAACTATCATTTAAACCGGTTTCAACGTTTACGAACGTTTACATTAAAAACGTCACCCATATTTTACCCACCTAAAGAGCGATATTTTTTCTTAAAGTATATAAATTACATATATTATATATAATAGAAGAATTATATTATTATTTAAGATATTAATATATAATAGAAGTGTATGTATATACTTCTATATCTTCAAAATCAGTTCACAATTGACGAAGTCAAATCGTAAACTTCTTCCTTTTTTGAAGTCGGCTACAAAAGATACTTATTTTAAAATTATTTAAAAACTTTTCTCCGTGCTATAAGATGCTGTACTTTTACAGCTTTGATCTGCCTTTTTTAACCCACATTATGATTGAATTTTCCCGAAATCCGTGCAATAAGGTTGGCAAGCCTAGACAGAATCCACATTTAAAACATCAACAGCTATTTACAGCTCCAAAGTAACTGTTTAATGTGCGTTATCAGCCCGGGGAATAATTGAACCCTATTTTTTTCGAAAGTTATCAAGGCTAAACAATCACTTAAGTGGATCGATAATTTTATTTTCTTCCAAAATTGAAAAAACTACTTAAACTCGCATGTTGTAAGCAAAATCGCACGCCCCATGCTACTCGAGAAACCATTTGTGCTGCATAACTTTGTCCTAAACAAATTGATTAGTCGCTTCTCATCTTTGAATTTGTTCATATAGAATTATCTTAAGAGAAAAGTTTATAAATCAAATAAAAGGAAAAGAAATAGGATATTGTTCAATAAATAAACTATACATATAACTACACACAAATATAATACAAGTGGACTGCATTATTACTACTACCAAATAAATGAACCGCATTGTTTGTCACTTTAAAAAAATATGGCTTGATTTGGGCTTTTATGATTGTACTGTTTTTATTAGAAATTAATAGTCTAGA